AAAAATTAAGATAATAAAATTAATGGAGTTATACCAACCCCTACCTTTAAAATATATCTTGTACTTCACCATTTATATTTTGAGTTTCTGTTTTCAATAGAAAGCATGCAGAAATTGCACGAGTGTCTCAAAGAGTTGACAGATTTCTTCTGATCTGATCATTTCGAGCTAATGATATTTGATATGAGTTTTTTAATATTTACCTCAACTTTTTTGACGCGGAGTAAAATGACACACCTCCATTTTGTTTAATAGTTAGTAATTTTTATAAATTATGGCAACTGCTTGATTTGAAATCAAGTCAAAAACTCAGTTCTTGAGTTTGTATCATTACCAATTACTTGAGTTTTCTTGCTTTTCTAACTTAATTTCAATTCGAAAAATACTGAAATATTATTCAAAAAAGTTTAAAACAAAAATATACAATTGTATACTCATAATATATTAATTGTAAAATTCAAGTAAAATTTTCATTTTTCTCCTCCTTAATCTAATTCTTACTAAAAATTATTTGTTTTTCTAATGTCATTTACATTTGGCTTGTTGACTACTTAAAGAAACATGGAGCCTTTAGCAGCAATGGACAAACATTTTCCATAGTTATTATAACTATTACATTAACATAACGGATACATTAAACAATTAAGTTCCTTTTTGGTGAACTTGAAAGAAAAATAAATTTGGACAGGGTGCTCAGAAATATGTCAAACATTTAAAAGGATTGGTAATCAATATTTTTGACCATCCTTTTACTAAGTTATTGAAAATGTTTAAAATAAAATAGTTTAATTTAGGAAAGCTGCAATGACTCACTCTTTTGAAAGAATCATGTGTCGTTTTTATTTTTATAAATTAATATTTGAATGTTGAAACACTTGACTTGATTTGACATTTGAAAACTGAAACTTGCAAGTAATTAGAATTAATGTCAAGTCAATCAAGTCAAACCGACCGATGACTTCAAACAAATTACTTTGTAACTGTTTAATCAATCGACTGGAGTTTGTAGCAAAACATATTAGTACTGTATATAGGGTGTTTCAGAATTGATTGTCCAAACATAAACTACAGGGTGTCCCGTTCATGTTTCTAAAAACTTGTGTGCAAGTTCCTCATGGGAAAATAATAGGGGTAGTTTATGTAACGTTTTTTTCTTAGACGCCCTGTTTTCGAGATACAGTGTGTTGAAGTTACTTTCCAAATGGTTTTCCTTAATTATCTTTAAATCGGCTAAAGATAAAAATGTCAGAATTTGTACACGAGTAAACATCAACTGTGCGTTAAGAATAATGTGCAAACGGTTTATTTCTGAAAAGCAGTGTCGCCGATACAGGTAATTGGAGGGGTACAATCGAAGAAAAATATGTTAAAAGTCAAAATTTATTACATTTATAAACGGTTCCGTAAACTCTAAAGCATACTACAAAAAAAGGTATACTTGTCGAAATTCGGTAGCATGTACCATTTTCAAGAAAAATCAAGTAGCATTTTTTTGCTCACATAAAGCGGCACAAGTACATTAACAAAATATTAAATTGAAAGTGTACTTTATCATTGAATGAGCTGAAGACATTTAATTACCAACAGTATTTGCATTTGAGACTATAATTATTCTTACGTATCACATGAAACAGTTAAATTGTAAAGCATTTTATTAACTAAAAAAAATTGAAATTTATTTTCAAGTTTCAGCTTGTAAACTAACATTTAAAAAAGTAAATCAAAATAAACGGATTATGGTAATTAATTATCTATTAATAACTAATTTTAGATTTTGTAAACTACTACACTACCATCACTAAAATAAACAATTGTTGCATGGACTGAATTGTTGATGTACATGAATGCTTAAAGAAAGTGATAAAAACAGAAAAAAACAGACTCGGAGACATACAGAACAAAACAGCTGCACAATTAAATAAATGAGCAAAACTTGAAATACTACAGTATATGCTGAAATTATCCCCCATTTGCTTCTATTCAACTTCATTTTTCTCGATAATGGTACATGTTACCGAATTTCGACACGTATACCTTTTTTTTGTAGTATGATTTAGAATTTACAGAACCGTTTAGAAATGTTATAAATTTTTAATTTCCCATGAATACATTGTGTTTAATCGGAATCTCTAAAAAGTGGTTGAAGTCGATCTTTACCATATTTAAACGAAGATAGGTTGTTGCGGATTTGTTTTAGCGTTCTCGAATGCCTAATTTCAATCCTATAGATTTTTGTATATGATTTAACTGTTCAATCATTTGATTGAAATTTATAGCAAAAGATAATATAAAGTATATAAAGTTTGAGGATTAATTGTTCGAACAAAAAATCGAGCTTTACAATATTTAAACGAAGCATATTTGAACCGCAAGATAGGTCTTTGCGGACCTCAGTTTTAGCCTCCTCGAACACCCAATATAAATCCTATTGATTTTTGTATATTTTTATACAAGAAACCGGCGTAACATATTCAAAAATCCACGTTATTAATTATCTTCAGAAGTTTTTAACCGGATATCAATATTTCAACACATGAAGTCTTGTATAATGAAGGGAGGTGGCAATCTCCAACTTTTATTATATTTTAGTGTTATATTAACGGTTTTTCGATTCTTTCGATCGTAATAAAAACTCTGCCTTTGATCATTAGAGCAGTCTTGCATGTACTATGACCTATTTTATTTATTTTTCTTTTGTACAAAACTAACGAAAAAAATGGGGAAACCGTATTCACTTCAAATAAATCAAGTTATCTAAAACAGATATCTAAGTTACTATAATTGTAAATAACGAGCGTTCAAATAAAAACGTGGTCAAGTTGGTTCTGAAAATTTGGACGTAGGGCGTAGCGTATAGCAAATGAACTTAAACGTCATCTGTCAAAGCGCTATATCGCCGCTATCAATTTGAATATTTTCGTTTTAAAAAGCGTTTAAAATGGTGTTTTCTCAAGAACAAAAAGTGTTTATCATAGAGTCCTACTTTAGAAATGGACGCAAGATTGATGGAATATGGAAGTATTCTATTGAGGAATGTTTCATAGAATTTCAAAATCAATTTCCCGGCGTTGTTGAGTACAAAATTTTTCAAAGTGCAGTTCAGCGTTGTGTTAATGTTTTTCGTGAAACGGGCAGTGTAACAAGAAAAGAAGGAAGCGGCCGACCTAAAAAGCGGACTGAAGAATTAAAAGAAAATGTCCAACAAATAATGGAAAATGCGCCAAGAACTTCTGTACGTGTTTTATCACAAATGGTGGGAGTATCAGTCGGTACCTGCCACACAGTGTTAAAAAAAGATTTGCGTTTGTTCTCCTATCGTTTAACTTGTCAGCAAGAACTTCATGAAGTTGATTTTCCGCGACGGGCTGTATTTTGTGAATGGTTTTTAAACAACTACGGTGAACTTCATAATATCACCTTTTTTTCTGATGAAGCCTGGTTTCATTTAAGTGGTTACGTAAACTCACAGAATATGAGAATGTGGTCTTCTGAAAAACCAGATAACTTTTTTGTCGAGGGCCCTCTACACGCTCAAAAAATTGGAGTTTGGTGTGCTCTCAATCGAAGGAGGATTTATGGACCTATTTTTTTTAATGGTACTCTTACTGCGCAAAGGTATAGAGAAGAAATTATCGCTCCTTTTGTTAACCAGCTGGAAGAAAACGAAATTACAAACTTTTACTTTCAACAAGATGGCGCAAGGGCACATACGGCAGGCGAGACGATGAATATGTTGAGGGAAGTTTTCCAAAATCGACTAATAAGTCTCAATGCTGAACATGAATTTCCACCGAGGTCATGTGATATTACGCCGTGTGATTTCTTTTTGTGGCCTTACCTTAAAAACACTATTTTTGAACTGCCTATTCCTGATTTAAACCATCTGCAGGCTCGACTTATAGACAAGATTCGTGAAATTAACAATACCCCGAGCATCTTAGAAAATGTCTTTAATTCTTTGAGGAACAGGTGTGAAAAGTGCTTGGAACAAGGAGGGGGACACTTTCAGCAGCTGCTTTAATTTATTGTTATAACAAGGAGGGGGACACTTTCCGCAGCTCCTTTAATTGTTTGTTATTGTTATCACGATTATTCTTTAAAATAAAGTTATATAGTCATTAACGTTATTGAAACTGACAGCTGCTATACAGCTCGTTGAGAAATGAGGTTAAGTTGGTCGCTATAAGCTACTCCCTACGTCCAATGTGTCAGAGCCAACTTCGACCACGTTTTTATTTAAACGCTCGATAGAAAAAAATTATATATATATTATAAGAGATAACTTCCAACCCTTGCAACCGAGACAGTAAAAACTAAATTCTATCTTGTTTGAATTGAAATAGATCCACTGTGGCTTTGTTGTTCATTTTAGTAAATTTTTGATACGTAACTTCATGTCTTTAATTATTTATTGTGCATTTACATATGTCACTAATGAAGGGGCGTCATACGCAAAGCGTAGATACTTTGTTACTCTGCGTGATGTGGTAATTCGATGTATGATTCTACGTGTTAAACATTTCACAAACTGCATGTTACGTGTTTCCTCGAATGTACTAGACAGAAGGTAAAGCGATCGATATCATTAGTTTACAGCGAACTGTTTTGTATTACTCCCAACAATTAGCACTCGCGGACAAGCGCACATTTGCACAAATTAAACAATTCACTATCAGTCGGCGATCATCATTAAATTTGCGCTGATCAGACAAACAGTGTGGACTAATTTGAACTGCTGCGCTAGTAAACCAACAGAACAGAGTGCAAATTCAGCTCTTTCCATTGATAAACAATCGTTCCAGCCGAGCGAGAGGCCGCCAGCTCTAAAAACTGGCCCTATTAAAATCTTTCACTCCGCTGAGGTTGTTTGTCTTAAGTCCTCGTTAAGGACTGCGGCTAGCCCGGGGCCTCGATATTTCAGCGAGACGAACACTCGGGTGATTTGTAGCTGCATATAAACTCCTTATAAATAATACTAATGACAAAGGAGATTGAATTACCTGTAGCACCCTCTTGGGGAGGCCAGTCTTTTGAGATAGTTGCTTCAGGTCCTTCGCGTCGGGGTTATGGTTAATTGCGAAGTAGGATTTCATGGTCCTCAGCTGGTGGTGTTTGAAGGACGTCCGCATCCTTTTCGTCCTTTGACTGGCACCGTGGAGGCCAGGACCGCCCGGCGATCGACCGAACGACATGTCCAGATAGTCGGAATTTAAATCTGCAAAAAATTCGTCTGCGTTAAGTCAATTTGAAAACTTACAGAGCAAATAAAATTTACAAAAAAGCATGTATGTGAGGGTAGGTACCATGTGAAGTACTTTATATTTGGCATAGTAACTAAAAAATCCAAATCTAATCTAAAATTTACTAGGTATAAAGGCGAAAATTGTTATACATAATTCTATTTATTTAATCTGTTTATATAGTATCTGGCACATATATTACAAGATATTTTTGTAAGAAATTAAAATATCAATGTAGGCAAATGTAAATTTTAAACACGAAACTAATTCAATGATGAAAGTATATGATAAGTTTGGTGCATTTGTTAAATCAAATGGCATTCTAAGTAATTCAGGAAGAAGGTATCGTTATGACCATTCGCATGGGAAAATTATGTTTAAGTAGATGACTTAGTAGAAGATGATATAGTCATTAAAATTATCTCTGGGAATAACTGAAATATCAGTCCTTGCAACAATTAAAAAATTTACTTTATTGTAAGCATTCTAGCATTTCTTTAATAATTGTTAGAATAAATTATTGTTATAATTATAATAATTCAATTTGAATTGCTATAATTTGAATAAGTGATTCAATTCTATAACGATTTATTTTTGCATAATTACTCCATTGTAGTTGATAAAATTATTATTATGATGTTGCAAACATGCAATGTCAGAAGCTAATGAATGTACTGTTTTTTTTAATAATTGTTATATTTTATAATAGATTTTGATAGTTAAATTGCCTTAAAGCTAGTATTAATGATAATGAATTATTTGTCGTACTTGGTATACTTTTTATCGAACTAGGAACAAAAAAAGTTCTTTTTTTTTGTTGCAAATTTATAGAAACATCTGGTGATTGACAAGTTTAAGATAAGATAAGTTCAAAATAACACAGGTGCAATTTGATTAATATAAAATATCACAGAGTAGAGTTACGGATGTATTTCAACATTTTACAAAAAAAAACTAAATCTGAAAGTACGTAGCAAGAAAGGTGCAACATCTCAAATGGTCACTACTACTTCATGTCTAGGCCATTAATATGACCAACTTACTAGAGAGCAACAAAATTGACAAACACTATGAGCAAGACCACTGTCACACTCAACAAAACAAAATTTTTTAAATATTTTGGAAAACAACTACTTTGCAGACTAATGCCTCGACCAGCGTTGTCAAAGGTTATACAACCGATCCAGCTATTTTGATGTATATCTGTAGAAATGGTACGAATGTGAGTGAAATACAGGGTGTCCCAAAATTAGGGGGTAATATTTCTACAGGGTAAGGTAATATTTCTATATCTAATATTTCTTTCATTTCTACATTTCTATTTCTATTTCTATGTCGATAAAGATTACATTTTCTTTCTATAAACGTGGGTCCAAAAATTCTTCCTAAGGAAGTTATAGCCACTTAAAGGGACCACTCTGATGATGATTTTTTCTAAATAACTCCGAAACCAGTTGAGATAAATTTATAAAATTTGGTAACTAGCTTAACTCTTACGTGCTCAGTCCGCTACTAAAACGAAATTTACAAATTTTCATCACATACGTTCCAACACTGGGGGGGAGGGTGGTAAAATTTACCATATTTTTTTTATGCGTTGACTTTTTTAACTTTTGACTGAAAAGTATGAAATTTCATAATTTTTTATTAAAAAAAGGTACTATTGGTTCATATCGGTAGAATGTACCATTTCTGTGTAAAATCCGTTTAAATATAATGTTACATGTTGTAATCACTGATAATCGAAATTGTCAATATTTTTATCGTCGCGGGTTTTGAATAACAAAAATTCGTTTGACGTTATTTAAATTGCCAGTTAAAACTGAAATTTGACACTTTTTTATGCACTATCAAGCAGGTAGATGCTACAACCAACCAGTCGGCAAGGATACCCTTTCTATGATTCCTAATAAGATTGCACAGTTTTTGAAACTAGAACATCCTGAAACATATACAGGCCATTTATTCCGAAGAACATCGGCAACGTTACTGGCTAATACAGGAGTTGATGTATTAGTAATCAAGAGGCATGGTGGGTGGAAATCAGACACAATTGCAGAAAGTTATATTGCTGACAGTTTAAGTAACAAAAATGAAATAACCAACAGGATTCTTTACAATGACACTTCAGCTCCAGGTTCTAGTAGTACGTCGCATCATGCTATTTTAATGGATCAGTCAGAAAATATTGATCAGTCAGACAATAAATATATTGTTATAACAATAGACTATTAATAAATAGTCTATTTACTATAGTGGTAAAATTTCTTTACTGATTAAAGTCTTAATAGTCATAATATAATACTCAAAAGAATTACATTGTGTCCAAGATTTACCAAATAATGCTTCTTTTAACATTTTCTGCAATATATGATAATTATGTTATTTTTTCATTATGAAATTTGAAATACTTTACCATAATTTTATTAATCAAAGTGAATTCAAAACCGTTCAACCCACTGAATACAACTGTCTGCTTCATTCACCACAACGTAACGTCATAAAAGAGTTCCTAACGTAAATTACACCTTCACGAAACGTTTTCTGTGAAAAACGTATAAAAGAATAATAATATAGGATCCCGATTTTAATTAGGTTAGATACCTCGGCGACAGGCTGGGCCGCATTCTTTACGTTCTCTCGCCAAATAATATATATGCACCTGTTGCAAGGCTTTAACGTCTACATGGGCCGAGGCTAGACTCGCTCCATATATCGGTCCCTATATCGACACTTGATGACAGAGTCGCCATAAACGTAAATTACACCGTACACAAAACGACCGTCCGCTCCACAACACGACCGTATGAACGCCGCTGTTATAAAACGTCCACACTGAGAAACCACCACTGATAAAAATGTCTTCATCAAACAAAGATACAGCCACCGGCTTTGGGTCTATACGGCCGTGAGGAGGTCGGCTCTCGTACGGTTCTTTTTTATTTTACAAAACTGACTTGGTTTATAAAATCGAGACAGGTATTAGAACTACTATTAAATTTATTACAAGTTCGTCCATTAGCGCTTACATGTTTATAATCTATTGAAATACACTGTAAACGATGAGGTAAATCTACAATAAATACGTTCTGATCCCCGAGAGAACTAATTTTCCCAAGTGACTTACATGACGTAACACACGAGTGCCATACAAAATTTTATCCAAACATTTATAGAATTTCGTTTTAATAATAAATAAGTAACTTAAAATTTCAAGTTGTCAATGTCAGAAAAAGTAATTTAACGAAATTAATGTATTTTTAAATATTACAAAACCTATATTGGGACTGTAATCAAGGGTTGTCAGTAAACAAACAATATTTTTTGAGTTGAAATCACGTTGAAATCCTAAAACCAAGACTGAAAAAATGTAAAATGTGGAAATTCCATCTGAAATTTTAGAAAAAGCTAATGCGGCTACTGCAGGCATCATTGCGGAGAAATCAAAATCCATATACAACAAAGAACTGAAGGAATTCCAAGATTGGAAAATCAAAGAAGGGGTGAAAGGCGTAAATGAAGATGTCTTGCTGGCTTATTTTTTCAATTTAAGTGAGAAATTAGCTCCATCCACATTTGGACTAAATATTCCATGTTGAAGTCAACTTTGAGACTTCACAAGAACATTGAAATTTCTAAATTTGGAAGTCTAGTGGCATTTCTAAAGTCTAAGCACAAACATTTTAAACCAAAAAAATCTAATCAAAAAGAGAACAAATCGAACAACTTTTGCGTGAAACCCTAGACGAAGATCATCTTATGAATAAGCTAGGTTCTACTGAATAGTTTAACTGACTTATATTTATTAAATTTGTTGTTTTTAGGTGGCGTTGATATTAGAAGGTTTTGGCGCTTGCCGTTGCGAGGAATTGACCAATCTAAGCCTAGACAATATAGAGGACAAAGGGCAGTATATCCACATCATGATTTCAAATACTAAAACGAACAAACCAAGAAGCTCCGCTGTATTAAATGAAGGATTTTCTGTTAATCCAATTGAATTAATTAGAAGATGTTCTACGCTAAGGCCTCAAAATGTGCAACATAAAAGGTTCTTTTGCAATTTTCAAAAGGGAAAATGCACACGTCAATGTGTTGGTATTAATAAGCTATCAAAAATCCCTAATGTTGTTGTGCGATTTTTGGGCTTGACAGATTCTAATTTATAAACAGGGTATGACTTGCGTCGCGCATCTGCAACTCTCTTGGCCAATGCTGGAGGGGATATTACAACATTCAAACACCACGGTTGATGGAAGTCATCTACCGTGGCAGAAGATTATAGCTATAGAAGATTTCCAGCAAAATTGATATTGCTAAAAAGATACAAGGGGTGCAGACTCCTGAAGCAAGCACAAGCAAAGGGACAACCTGTTCTATACATTTACCACAATCACAAAATGATTCCAATAATCCTTTGGCATCAAATTACGGTTTTACCACAAATGTTAATGTTAATATTAATAAGGAGGTAGATTGTAAGTTTGTAGCATTTTAGGTTATTTGTTGACTTATTACTATTTCAAAGTGGTTTTCTAATAAAAATTACAAAAAAAAACCAAAAATTTGTCTTTTTATGATTTCTATAAGTCACTAGTGGATTATAAGTCATAACTTACTAGTGACTTATTTTGAGTTAGTCATTTGGCAAAAGCTGGCTCCCGAGCTATTAGTATCATTATATTTATTTATTTATTTATTTATTTATTTATTTATTTATTTAAATTATTTGTCCAACAGTGAACCACCAATTACAGGACAAAGTATATAATATATTATTTAACATGTGAGCATACAGAATAAAATGTAAAGAATAAATACAACAAACATACCGATAAGATAGTGTAACAACAAATGAAAAAGAAAATAAGAAGAAAGAAAAAGAAAAGCTGCAACTACTACCTATGTTAACAATAATGAATTGTTGACACTTCTAAAAGCTGTGTACAGATGTTGCAAGCTACAGTTGAATATA